GGTCTTGCAGTTTATTGTTTGTCTTCATACACCTTTTGGCTGATCAGATCTCTTGTAGATCCTACGTTGGCAGGGTTTATCGTATGCGGTCCCTTGCAGTTTCTGGTTTCTCACCCCCTTAGCAACGCGCGCGAGCGCGCGCATGAATCGGTTAATGTTCCCTTAATTATGGGATAGTTGGGTGACTGTCGGCAACACTCGACCCAGGTACTACTCGGCCAGTCATTCCCGAGGCATGCGGATCGCTCACGTTAGATTGCATCAGCTGAAGTTCTTTCCGGTAACTTTGAGGTGTCCAAGGCATTTTTCTCTCTCCATCTTCAAAATGGTTCTAGATCTCGACCTATACAGGGCTGATAAAGGTGGCGACCCCGAAAAAATCCGTGAAAATCAGAGCAAGCGATACAAAGACACCACTCTCGTGGACCAAGTCGTCGAAGCTGATACAAAGTGGAGGAAATGTAAGCTGTGGATGTATAATTTATGGTAAACTAAATGGATTTTTTCAAATTAAAGAGCAAAGCTGACATTTGAAGCCTACGCCTTACAATGCTATGTTTTCAACAGTACGATTTTCGGCCGACAACTGGAACAAACTCAAGAACGTATGCAGTAAACAGATCGGCGAAAAGATGAAGGTATACAAAATGCTTTTAAACCAAATAGTGCTTCTTGTACACGTGGGCAACGTTTGTACGTAGCCAAGTATGACAGCTGAAATGTTGTTGAGATTTGTAGTTTTGAAGAAAATTTTCTTTCTCAGTCTTTTACTACTTGCTTTCAAATACAAAGGTGGTATTACTAGTTTTTTCCTCGGATAGGTTTCTAGAATCATCTTTATTATTTGTCGATCTCGTTAAATTTTATTACTGGGTTGCCTGTGGCAAACCAGTCATAAAATGCTTTTCGTGTTTTTTCCTGTCTACTCCATCTAAAAATGCAAAAGTTGGACAATCATACCAGTATCCATTCCATGCTTTGTCATAGTTTTGTATGATGGTTAACACATTTTTCGCCAGGAGTCTCGAACTACCCACAAACGTAAAATATGCCTTGCATGGCTAATATGTAAAGAAAGAAAATCTAAGCCAATGTTGTTAAGCCTCACTGAAAATTGTGTCCACAAAAATCTATTTTATCTGGCAAGAAGGGTTTTGATGGGTTTTGTGTGCAGGAAGAGAAAAGATATTATTACTACTGTAATAATAAATTATTATTATTAATACTGTAAATCACAACTGCTGTGAAAAGGTCAGACAACTAACATGGCATTTCATTTCAGCCACAATAACAAAGAGTTGCAAAATAAGACTTTTAGTGAATCCTGTGTAAGACAGCAAGTCATCGTTTCTTTCTACTGTAGCTGGGAAGCCAACGCATTGCCTTGCATTGCTCAACCTTCAAATTCAAAGGAGATTAAATTTTGGCACAACAGTTCATCTCTGTAGGCCATCATTTTGCTTTACTAAACAGAAGCCAATCACAGTTGGATAATGTCACCATGACAACATATTAATCTCAGTTAAATATCAGTATTTTGCATCCAAAATTTGGATGCACCAATTCAGAATTCAAAGCAGCGCAGGCAGGCTCTTCTTCCCTTTTCCTCTCCTTCTTTCAGTTACCTTGTGAAGAGTCTGTTTGCAGGCTACTGTATATTAAAGTGAACTAAAGTACTCATAGACAGACACTCACTCTGCAACCTTGAATCTGCTTGAATTCAGAGTGAACCCATTGCAAATCTAGCCATCATTTTTATATTTGATCATGAACAGAGTTGGAAACTATATTTTGACAGCACTTGCTATTTGGGCAAGTTACTCTTAATTAAACTGCACTCACCCAGTGTAAATTTCACTCACCCAGAAAGATGACTCCCCTCCAAAAAAAATATCTGCAATGACTTACAAACCATATGTTTCTTCAGCATCTGGTAATCACAGATGCCTAGCTTGCCATTTCATGTTGAACTTTCTTGTCTTGGTCCATTTCTGAGGCTCTTTCTTAGGATCACAGACCAATTTTACTGTTTTATCTTTATTTTGAACATCATTTCTATTTCCCTGAATTATAGTAATGCTTCAAAAATGACCAGGTTATGCTTTAAAGAGCATTTTGTAGCAATTTTGTCAGTGCACAAAAGCGGGAAAATAAAGTCGAAACTTCAAAATTTTCAAAATGTATATTGAAAGGAACAAGATAGTTGTGTCGATTGTCAAAGAAAATTCAGAAGAGTTTACTATTTTCAGAAATTGCAAGTTATGTTTTGATATGGTTCAGTGGTCTTGAAATTTAAGCTAGATGATGTGCAAGCCTGTGAACTGTATGCAGAGCCATTTTTGTAATCCTTTTATTTTCATAACAGTAATGTGTAACAAGTTCCTGAATTGTCAATGATATATACTATGCTGTGTTTTCTTTCTGTAAAAATAGAAGGATAGAAATATCAAACTTAAGCTGTTGTTCTATTATGCATACATGTACACGTACAATATTTAAAAGTAGCATTTGTTATCACCTTTTATCATTGAGACTGACTAGTTCTTTGGAGACTGATTGCATTGTATTATTAAATGGGTGCCTGACTAGTTTAGCTTTGTATAGTTTTTTTAGGTGCACATCAGCTCTGTTTGTTTTCCTCAAATAAAAAATTATTACTTATTATTAGAAATATTCTATTTTTATGAGGTACTGTAAATACATTGTTGGTGTTGTTGTTACATGTACGTTCTCTGCTGAAACACCAATGAGTTTTGTCACTGTCTTGAACAACATGCAATGGTGTCCATCTAATTTCTATGCAACAATTTACGTGCATGTTAAGACTTAACTTTTGATCAGTTTTGACTTAAGTGGCTAAAAATAACAGCATAAAGTCTTTATGCTGTTATTTTTAGCCATAACAATGGTGTCATATCTTGACCTCTCTATGCACACTTCATTTCCATTCTATGGTGCCCATATTAAAGAAATCAACTGTCAAAAATGATGTAAAAAATTCTGAACGAAAAATAAGTTTGAATCTCCACTATTTGTGCATATGTCCCTACATTGTTTACTTACATGTGTAAGCTCTTAATGTCAGTTGATTATGCAATAAATTGTAAAATCCTGTCTGAAAAGAAAGCGGGGACTTAAGAGAAAGAGTGCCATTTTGAAAACTGGAGGATCGTGTGTGTATTTATTATTTATTATGTTATAGATAGGACCCTGTACACGCCCTGATTGGTTAAAAACCCATGTTTTATCTGGGCATAAAACATAGAAAAAGCATGTCTTATTGGTTTTTGACACATTACCTTTATATCATAAAGCAAGTGAAAAAGCCTAAGACATGTATTACACTGTGATAAAACACTCCATACATTTGAGAACACTCAAGAAATGTAGAAAACACTTGCCTACAGCTTGTGTTTTCTACATTTCCCTCGTGTTATCAAATGCCGTCGTGTTCTATCACAGTGTAATACACAGCTTTGGCTTCTTTATTTGTTAAATATTTAAGTCAAATTATTTAGTATATAATAATTCAAATTATTTGCGCATTTCGATTGGTTCTTACTGTCTTATGATCTGTTGGAGGACAGATGCATAGATAATGTCATAAACATTCTTTTTGGTTCTCTATTATATAAAACAAGTAGATTCCATGTTGTTGCCAGGTGTCTCTTCAGTGACACACTCGGCTATCACCTTGTGTGCCACTTTGTTGTTACCACATTTTGATGTCATCTGTGATCTGTTATTGAGCAGATACACAGCAACATGGAATCTATTTGTTACATGTAACTAGTGTTCACCTTTAATAGTTATTTGATCTCTTGTTGTATTGCAGCGTAAAGAGCCAGTGGGTGACAGTGAAGAGCTGCCTAAAAATATAGTTGATGGCTTAGAGGACATAACTCCAGAAATGTTAGAGGTGCATTTTGTACAACTTGTTAACAGCTACTGTAGTTCTAAGAATGTGTATGTATCTTTTTTCCATGCAAAAAGTTTTTGATTTGCCTTAATGCTCAATATTGTAATCCTGTTGTTGAAATAACGGAAAATGCACTAATTTTTGGTTCACAACCTTGTAAAGGAATCTGGGAACAGTGAGCATGAGACGTTGAATCAAGAACAACTGTCTGTCAGGTCTCTTTAGTTCCCTCTTTGTCAATTCTTTCTACCACAAAATTCTTACAATTATTGAGAAACTACAGTCTTCTTACATGTAGGTCTACCGAATTGACCTTGTTTTTTCTCTTTCTGGCCAAATGCCCAATGTTGAAACCCTAAAAGAGAAAACAAACCACATACCAACACCTTTGAAATTCTATTATTCTACTCTATTTAGTCTTGGCTGAAAAACAGTTTAAGTTCCAAAGTATACATGTGCTTAAGGACAGTGCCTACTACAGTACCACCTGAAACCATGGACCCATCAGGTTGCAGCAAAACCTTGTCTTTGCCACATGCTCCCACCTCGCGTCCACTGCGGGTGAAAATATGTAGCACCGTGGTAAAGACGAGTGCGACAGCAATTGAAAAAATACCGCAGCAAAACAGACGAGGTAATACCTCGGGGAAGTAATGTATGTGTATCAAGTAGAGTGGCTTTTTTTCATCAACATTGCTTGTAAACTCCATCATAATCTGGAGTCAAGAAACACGTTCGAAATGTACATGTGCTGACTATTAGTAAGCCCTCTTACGAACTCTAACGACACTATTCATAGCCTTTTTAATAGGATTCACAGGGTTTCGAAGGTCACTTGATTAGAACGGCAACTGGTTGGAGCCTGCCGTAATCAACAATGCGTTGATCTGCAATTGTGGCTACACGTACCAAACGTTACCAATTTCAGGTAAAAATGTAACTGTTTGTCATCTAGTTCATTTTTTTTAATCTTAAAATTGATGCATTGAAAGTAGTAACGCAACTTCGGGACTTAGTTTTGGAAACAACAGAGGTCAGGAATCTGGAAATCAAACATGTAGCATCTTTTGTTTTCCGTGAAAGGTCACACAAAATGTTTAAAAAAAATCTATTAGCCTAAAGTGGTGAATGGTTTCACTTCTCCTTTTGATCAATTGTATAAAGGTGAAAAATATATTTCCCTGTAGGAATCTTTGTCTAAAGGAAGATTACATGAGCTGAATGCCATCAGGAATAAAGAGCAGTCGCTGCTCGGAAAAACCCTTTTAATTCTCTGTTGGAATCAGTGGAAATCAAACGGGTATGATTCTAACATCTGGAGATTCAGAAAAACAAAGCAGGAGAGACTACGAACACACTGAAACTCTTTGAAAGGTAAAAGATAAAAAAGAAAACAGTTGATACCAAAAAATGCGTAGATTACTACATACCATAACCCTTACTTCCAAAAAACCGTGGAATTCAATTCAAAAATAGCAGCATGTCTTTTGTCGGCAAAGCAATTTTTGAGCTTTTTCCAACATTTTGATTAGAATTGTAACAAGCCAAATAACAAGCCTATCACGACCACTTACGAAGGTTGTTACTTTCTCACTGAGCTCTCAATGAAGACAGTGGCCAAGATATATCTTACAAGATATCACATGCCAAAAACTATTTTGACCATTGTTTATCCAGCGTCTCGTTCACAATTCGGTCCATTACCCATCCCCCAAATTTAGCGCTAAGTATACCATGGGACCAGGCAAATTTCATTGGTTGCCACAAAGTAATTTGACGAATTACAAAGCAGTTAACGCCCAAGTCACTAGTGGAGGGAAGGTGCCTACGAAGCCCGGGGGCTGCAACCGCAGTCACATCCCTAAGGTGCTAGAACACCCGACTGGCCTGCCCAACCCGCAACCAAGTCACGAGCCCCCCGCGCCAAGCCCCCTACAGGCACCCGTCACACTCAAGCCAGATGGCATTGGTGGAAAAAAAATGCTGAAAAGAAAGGGGGGCATAGGGAGGGAATGCTGAGAACCACTAAACTATAATTCAATCCACAACGCCACGCTAACAGAGCAATGAACACACTGCGAGCACATGGGACGACAACACATGTACTAACCAAATATACTGCTGGACAATGTCAGCCCCAGGGCTCTCACGACCATATGACTGTTGCAAACGCTACAGAAACGCACCAAACGCTAAACAAACGCTAACAGNCTAACAGATGGCCAAGGCACTAACAAACGCCTACAAAAACGCTACTGACCAGACTCGCTCCTGGTCACAAACTATGTAAAATTTCATTGAACTATATCAAATGCTACAAAACGCACCAAACGCTCACAGATGGCCAAGACACTAAAAACCGCCTATAAAAGCGCTACTGACCAGACTAGCTCCTAGTCGTTAACTATGTTAAATTTCATTTAACTATATCTAATAATTGATCGACTGATAGGTTTCCTCAATTTGCAAAACACTCACGAGTTTATAAATTGATCTAACTAAATTCAAGTCGTCTTCACAAACTCAAGGGTTAAAAACTGGAGCGTGTAGTTATTACCAGTAGTGGCGGCCACAACATGGTAAATTGCACAACACAAAGTCTTCATCTCTGAACTTTTTGAAGAACTTCCCGACCGTTTTCCGCGTGATTTTAATCCCTTCACGACTCAGTTCACGCACAACCTGACACACTTTGAAATTTAGTCTAAAAAGAGCTAAGATTCTTAATTTTACATACTCTGAAGTGCAGACCATGTTCAAAGCAGGAGACTTTTGTTTGACAATGTACTTTCACGTATGTTTTGATCACATGTCACCGACATGTCACCGATGCACTCAAGCAAAACGGGCTGAGCGGTAAATAAATGACGGTTTGGTTTTGTGATCTGTTCTTGCTTTCATTTTGTGCTAAGTAATGTTATCTTTGGAGTGCTGTAATTAAACAGGTAGATGTAAAAAAGCCGATGAAGGTTTCTCTTATTCATGGTTTGGTCTCCTGAGAAAATGTTTGAACTTGAAGCAGGTTCCACGAATATTACATTCAATCTCGATCAGCTGCAAGGAACCAGAGACAAAACTTTGACCAGAAAAACTTGGATCGCTGATTCGATAACAGCTACATGTATACAAGAACGCGGCATAAACAGCAATTGCCGTTTTTACTTAAATCAGCGGTCAGAGTTGACC